AACTCCTGACCTCAGGTGATCTGCTTGCCTCAGCCTCCCAAAGTGCTGGGATTACAGTCATGAGCCACCGTGCCTGGTCTTTAGTGGCATCTTTTAAAGAACAAATGTTTTTCAGTTTGATGAGTCCAACATCAGTTTTTAAAATGGCTCAGGCTTTTTTGAGCCCACATAGCCAAAGCAAGATTAAGCAAAAAATACAAATCTAGAGGCATCACATTACCTGATTTCAAACTATACTACAAGGGTATGGTCATTAAACAGCAGGGTACTGGTATAAAAACAGGCACATAGACCAATAAAATAAAATAGAGAAGCCAAAAATAAACCCAAATATTTACAGCCAACTGATCTTCAACAAAGCAAACAAAAACAAAGTGGGGAAAGGATACCCTATTCAACAGTGCTGGGATAATTGGCAAGCCACATGTAGGAAAATGAAACTGGATTCTCATCTCTCACAATATATAAAAATCAACCCAAGATAGATCAAGGACTTAAATCTAAGACCTGAAACTATGAAAATTCTAGAAGATAACAGTAGAAAAGCCCTTCTAGACACTGGCTTAGGCAAAGGTTTCATGACCAAGAACCCAAAAGCAAATGTAACAAAAACAAAGATAAAAAGCTGAGACTTAATTAAACTAAAGCGCTTTTGCATGGCAAAAGGAACAGTCAGTAGAGTAAAGAGACAACCCACAGAGTGGGAGAAAATCTTCATAGTCTATACATCTGACAAAGGACTAATATCCAGGATTTACAATGAACTCAAATTAGCAAGAAAAAAATAAAAAATCCCATCAAAAAGTGAGCTAATCTCAAAAGAATATATGCAAATGGCCAAGAGACATATGAAAAACTGTTCAACATCATTAATGATCAGGGAAATGCAAATCGAAACCACAACGCGATACCACCTTATTCCTGCAAGAATGGCCATAATAAAAAATAAAATAACAGATGTTGGCACTGATGCAGTGAAAAGAGAACACTTCTACATAGCTGGTGGGAATGTAAACTAGTACAACCACTATGGAAAACAGTGTGGAGATTCCTTAAAGAACTAAAAATAGAACTACCATTTGATCCAGCAATCACACTACTGGGTATCTACCCAGAGGAAAAAGAAGTCATTATACGAAAACGATACTTACACACGTTTATAGCAGCACAATTTGCAATCGCAAAAATGTAGGACCAGCCTAAATACCTATCAATCAATGAGCGGATAAAGAAACTGTGGTGTGTGTGTGTCTCACACACACACATGTGTATATATATATATATATATATATATATATATATATATATATGTGATGGAATACTACTCAGCCATAAAAAGGAATGAATTAATGGCATTAACAGCAACCTGGATGGGACTGAAGACTATTATTCTGAGTGAAGTAACTCAGGAATAGAAAACCATTGTATGTTCTCACTAATAAATGGGAGCTAAGCTATGAGGATGCAAAGGCAAAAGAATGATATAATAAACTTTGGGGACTCAGGGGAAAGAGTGGGGGCAGTTGAGGGATAGAAGACTACAAATTGGGTTCAGTGTATACTGCTTGGGTGATGGGTGCACCAAAATCTCACAAATCACCACTAAAGAACTTACTCATGTAACCAAATACCACCTGTTCCCAAAAATCTGTGGAAATACAAAATTTTTTTTAAAAAATGGTTCAGGCTTTTTTTTCCTGTCTTATCTAGGAAATCTTTGCTTACCCCAAGGTCAAAAAGATTTTTTGCTTTTCTTCTAGATGTTTTATAATTTTAGCTTTGATATTTGTGTATGACCCATGTTTAGATGAAGTATGAGCAAAGGGTCATTGTTCAATATTTTTCCACATGGATATCCAGCTGTTCTAGCAGCATTTGTCGTAAAGAAATATCCTTTCCTTATAAATTACCTTTGCATTTTTGTTAAAAACCAGTTGACCAAATACATGCAGGTCTATTTCTGGACTTCCTATGTTTAAATGATCTATTTTTCTATATATAATTATGGCAGTATCATACTATCCCAATTACTGCAGTTTCACAATAAGTCTTGAAATCAGGTAGAGTTCCCCAACTTTGTTCTTTTTCAAAGTTGTTTTGATTATTCTTGGTCTTTTGCATTTCCATACACATTTCAGAATCAGTTTGTTAATTTTTACCCAAAAGGAAGTGCTGGGATTTTTGACTGGGGTTTCACTGATTCTGCAGATCAATTTAGGGATTATGTTTTCCTTTACTGTTCGATTTAATTTATTGAAGCCATCCAGGCCTGGAAGTTTCTTACCTCTCCCATTTACAAAGCAACAAATGAGCTGTTGCCAATCCTCTGCATTTTGAAGAAACAAAAATTATTCTCTTGAGGGCCCTCACTTTCATGTCCTTGAAAGAGCTGATCTCAGTTATATTCAAAGAATTAAATTAAGCAAAGATTTAGTGAAAACCAGGCAAAGTTGGGGGAATGGTAGACAAATTACGCCCATGAGTTATATTTAAATTATGTATTCAAAATTATAATATTATTTTTTTTTATAGAGATGGGGTTTCACCATGTTGGCCAGGCTGGTCTTGAACGCCTGACCACCCATCTTGGCCTCCCAAAGTGCTGGGATTACAGGCATGAGCCACTGGCCAATTAAATTATTTTAACAGGTATAGGGCTCTTCAGATTTTTACTTCTTCTGTCAGCTTTGATATGTGTCTTTCATAGAATTTCATTTATCAAATTTACTGAGGTAAAGTTGTTCATAATATTCTATTATGCTTTTATTTTTCAATGAGATGTAATTTATATTCCTTAATATTCACCCACTTAAAATATTTTTTTTTGTATATTCACAAAGTTATGCAAACATTACCATTATCTAATTCCAGAACATTTTCATCACCCCCAAAAGCAATCCCATATCCATTAGGCAATCTCCATCTTCCCCTTCTCCCATCCTCTGGCAATTACTAATCTCCTATTAACCTTTTAATGGTGTAGGATCTATAGTGATGGGCTGACTTCCCATCACTATATTATTTTTCGTGTACTCAATTTCAGCAAGAGCCAAGCTCCCAAGGCAAGAATCTACAGTAGAAGTCACATTACAATCTTGGACTCGGGAGAGACAAAGACAACATACTTTTCCTGACGTTTCTTAATCAGTCTCCTTGTTGCCTAGCAATGCTTTTTGGCCAATGATAAAGTGCCAAGTTATTAAAAGTTTTTAATTCCTTCAGCCCTTAGAGAAGCTGCAGTCCCTGGGCTAGTTACCCCTTGCCAATAGCCACCTGAAGCCTGACATTAAAATGTTATTTTTTTGTATGATATAATATGAAAAAGTTTGAAAAGCAGTTAGACAGTCTTACAGTCTAAACTACTCAGGATAGCATTCAAGGACCTTCTTTCATTTGGCTCCAAACTGCTACCTGAAATTGTTTTCAATCTTCCCTCCCTCCATGCCTATTCTCAGCTCAAAACATCTTACATTCCAGGCAAAGCAAACTGCTTTAATGTGATATTCCCTGTGAAAATCCTATTAATCCTTCAAGATTCCACTCAAATGCCCAAAAGCCTTCCTTACTCTCTCTGGAAGCCCAGGGACAGTGTCTCTCCTTCCCTTCCAGAGATAGTATAGGAACTGAGCTGAGCTGAATACCAACTGAGGACTCGGTACTGATGAGATCTCAGAATATAAATCCATTTTTATATTTTCAAAATTGCCTTATGAATAGGGCAAGAAAGTGATTATCATAATCATTTTACAGATCAAGGAACAGTGGTTGAGAAAATGATAATATCTTATTAAACTCATACACAGAAGTCTGTAGCAGAGCTGAGACAAGAACTCGTCTAGACTTTTTTAAAATTTTTTTTAAAGATAGAAAGCAAAGCCTTTTATTCTAAAATGAGTCCTGTCTCTAAAACTGCAAAAATTTCCCAGCTGTGTTCTACACAATTTAGATTTACTTTAAGATATAAAACTGATACAGAATGGAGCTCAGGATTTTAGACAGGAATCAATACTGAATTAGGTGGGGCAAGAGAGAGCTCCACAGAGGAAAGGTGGCACAGGGAGGCTCCAGGTGCCTTGCAGCCAGCCTTCTTTATAACTTTATAATCTGGTGTGGCCGCTTAGCAGGTGCAGAGTATCTCTTTGTGTGGAGGTAGGTGATGAGCACTTCTGGAAATAAAGCACCAGGACCTTTTCATCTTAAGAAGTGAAAATTCCCTGGTCGTTTTATCTCTGGCACTCTTCTTTGCCTGTGTCTGAGTGGAAAATGCAGCTAAGTAAATATCAAAATTAAAACACAATTTTTAGGTAATTTTCCACCTTGAGGCATCCTGACCCTGAGAGGCATAGGGCCCTCTGGAGTTCAGGATGCATTCCCTAGGTATCAGTTTCTCCCAAGACCTCAGTGCCAAAGTTTGCAGATTCCAACCGAGGAGCTATAGCTTCCTAAAGGAAGCTTCAACTTTACTGTACCCCAAATGGACATACGCTTTCAATAAACTATAATATTAACCTGATTTACTAATATAAATCCATCCCAACCAAATCTAAAACCTATACACTTTCTTAAGCTATCAATGTAGTCGTTCAGATCAGAAGTTTTCCCTGAAACGATCATAAGGAGAGATTTCATTTGGAAGCACTGCTTGTTTTATAGCACAAGCTTCATCATGAAGCTTCATCATGTTATTTTATGTTATTTCAGGTACACAAGTGTTCATAAGTTTCTTGAAGGCAGAGACTGAAAGGATGCACAGACAGTGGAAAATAAACAGGATTTAGATTCTGAAGATACAGGTTAAAAATTCCAGCCTTTACTTATTAGCTTCGTGACCCTAATGAGTCACTTAACCTGTGTGTGTCTTAGTTTCCTTGTTTGTAAAATAGACCAAATTCTACCCACCTAACATAGTTACAGAGAGGAAAAGATAAATTAAGGTACATATGTTTTTTAAAATTTGTTATGTATAGATATGAAATTTTATCTTCTAATTGTTTTGAACATGTATCTCTCACGAGGCCTGTATTTGGGCATAATTCAATGCAAGTGACCATAGCAAGTAATTAAAATACCTTTTTTTTTTTTTTGGAGGGGGTAGCAGCTTTATTGAGATATAATTCACATCTCATACAATTCACCTATTTGAGGTGCACAACTCAATGGTTTGTGCTATCTGTACAGAGCTGTGCAACCCTTGCCACAGTCAATTCTAGAACATTTTCATTACCTCAAATAGAAGTCCTGTACCCTTTATCCAGTGCCTCCGACCTAAGCAACTGTGAATTGACCTTCTGTCTGTACGGATGTGCCTACAGTCGTCCCTCAGAATCCACAAGGGATCGGTTCCAGGACTCTCATGGGTACCAAAATCCAGGGATGCTCAAGTCCCATCTGCATATTTTCGATCTGTGGGTGGTGGAATCTGTGGGTGGAATATGTGGATGTGGAACCCACAGATACAGACTGTATTCCGGGCCTTTCACATAAATGGACTCATAGGATATACGGCCGCCTTTTGCATCTGGCTTCTTTCACTCAGCATCATGTTTTCAAGGTTCATCCACGTTATCAGTAGTTCATTCCTATTTATGGCCAAATAACATTCCATTGTATGAATACACCCCATTTTGTTATCAACTCATGAGTTGATGGATACGTGAATCTGTTGTTATGTGAATATGAGTTTTCATTTCTCTGGTATTGATGCCCAAGAGTGCAATCGCTAGGTCATAGGGAAAGAGCACGTTCTACTTTGTAAGAAACTGTCCACACAATCCAGTTTCTCTAAATCATTCTCAGCATTTTGTGTCATCACTATTTTTTATTTTAGACATCCTGACAGTTTCATATATATTCGTTTAATTTTGGCCTCAGCAGAAATCTGATTTTCAGTGACATTTGCTGTAAGTCAGAGCCCTGAATACTCCCTCTTGGGCATTCCTTCTGTAGGCTGGCCAACCCTAGTTCTTCTATCTTGATATAATTTGGGTAGTTCCTGTCTCCCTGCTGAAGAGCTCTGGGGTCTCCCCGCTGTGGGCCTGGAAGGGGATGTTTGGCACCAGGATCTTGGAGGTGGTCTGCTTTCTGGGAACTTGTTTCTTCTGAGCTGATGTCACGGCTGGCTTAGTGGCTCATTCTGAGATCCTCACTTCCAGCTTGTGGCCGTCCACGATGTGTCCCCGGAGCTGCCTGAGAGCTTTCTGGGCTTGCTCTGGCTTCCTGTATTCCACAAATCCAAGCCGCATTGAAATCAGTGCTCCTGCTTTGTTCTTCTTGGAGATGGAGCAGCTCTTCACTGTCCCCACTTTGGAAAACACTTCCTTCAGCTTCTCCTCTGTTGTGTTAAAATTGAGATTCTTAATAAACAGAGTACAACCTGGGAGGCTCTCCTCTTCTTCTTCCTCTTCCTCCTCCTCCTCCTCTTCCCTCTTTGCTGAAGAATTGTCTGCTTCTTCCTCCGTTGGATTTTCATCTTCTGGGGTTTCACCATTGGACCCAGTTTCTGGCTCTGCTTGGTCCTTTTCCGTGGGTTCCGGAGGTGCGTCTTGGGGCTCTTTCTTCTGTGGGGCTGCGCTGGAGAAGACGCCGAACGGAGCCCACTCCAGATACAGAGGGATGTGGTGGAACTTGGAATAGGCCAGATGCCTGAAGGCCTTGCGGGCCTCCAGGGGCTCCAGGAACTCTATGATGGCGGTGATTCCACCCTCTGGCAGCAGCACGCGGCCCAGGCTGCCAAAAGGGCCGAAGGTCTCTTGCAGCTCGGCCGCCAGGATGGCTGCCGGGAGGTTCTTCACCAGAATCACCGTCTTGCTTCGCTCTGCTGCAGGCTGGCTGAAGGAATCCAGGCTGACCCCGTTGTCTATGAGGAAGCGCTGCACTTCCTGGACAAGCTGAATCTCCCCCAGAGCCATGCGTACGGCCACGCTGCCCTTGGTCTCGTGGTCAAAAACTTGACTCTTGGTGGCGCTGTACTTCTGTGAGATGGGATCGGCCACGGCATTCGGCCCCATGAATAACGTGTTCCAGTTGTGAGAGCTGGTGCTGTTGGCTTTGTCCTGGGCCTCCTTCTTCTTCTTGTAGGACGACGATCCCAGTGCACTGGCATCTTTGCTAGTTTCCTTCTTGATGGTAGACGGTAGCACATGGAGCATTCTGCCCTGGAATACCTGCCCATCCACCTCCGAGTAGGCCTTCACAGCATGCTCAGGGAACATGAAGGGGACGAATGCAAAACCCTTGGGTTTCTTGGTCAGGCTGTCGATGGGGTAGTGGAGCTCAGACAGGGGACCGTATTTGGAGAAGAGCTTCTCCAGGTCCTCCTCAGTGCTGGTGTAGGGCAGGTTCCATACAAAGAGCCTTCCAGACCCGGCCAGGTCCTCCTCCTCTTCGTTCTTCCCGAGCATCCGGCCTTGCCAGGATTTGGCGCTATTCTTTGGCGGACCCTCGGTGGTGGGGACGTTCTTTTCCCTGAACACCTCAATGTAGCGCCCACCCATGTTCTCCCGGTTGCATTTCAGAGCTTTCTTCACTTCCTCTTCGTTGCTGAAATCCACAAAGATGTACCCTGTTTTATTCCCATGACCGTTTCTCACAATTCGAATGGCCACTGGCTTCAGGGGCGCCAGGAATTTCAAAACATTTTTCTCTGTGACGTTGAACAGGGCTCCCTGCAGTTTCACGGTGTGGCAGGTGCTAGGTTCCTTTGCTGGTTTTTCTGTCTTGGCTCTGGCCTCCAGTGGCCTCTTTTTCCCAGCTGGCATTCCTTGCTCTTGGCCTACACCCTTGCCGTCTCTTTCCTGCAGGGCTGGAGTGGTGGAGGAACCCTTTTCCTCGACCTCATTCCCTTCATCACAGTGCACGGCTTCATCTTCACGTTCCTCTTCCTCTGAGGAAGAGGATGACCCGGACTTCACCATCTTGGACTTCAGATAGTCCATGTCCGACAGCTCCTTCTGCACAGCTGCCTTCCTTTTGAGGTTTGCCTCTTCTTCCAGGTCCTCCCCAGCTCCCTCCTCCTCACTCTCCTGCCCGGAATCGGAGTCGAAGTTCAGGTAGTCGCTAGCCGGCTTGCTCTTCCCTTTTGAGGGGTCAGCATCCAGGCCATTGTTCACCCAAGTGGCTGCCTGCACCGGCCTCTGATGGACCGACAGAAACTCCTGGAATTCTGTATCCTCCTTCTCCAATTGACCTGCCACTGTTTTCTTTTTCTCGTCTTTCTTAATTTCTGGAGTAGCGGAGTCTTTTGGAGGCTGCTTGGGCTGGCTTGGTTTCTGGGCATGTTTGCTCCCAAACGACTTGCAGAACTTCACTGTGATCTGGGATGTATCAATAAAGCTCTTGTTAAAGTGCTTCAGTGCCTTTTGGGCCTCTGCCTCCGTCTTGAAGCCGATAAAGCCAAACTTGCTGAACTTGCCATCTTTGGCAAACTTCAGGTTGCAGTCCGTCAGCGTGCCGAAGGCGGCAACAGCTGCCTGAAATGCTCCTTCTTCATCCCATTTGGGAGGTTCTTCACAATCAGTTGCGACATGGCACAGGGTCCCCACTGTTTTGATTCCAGCACGACTGAACAGTGCTTCCATCAACAACTTTCACGCTACCGCCCTGGGCAAAAGGGCGGTAAAAATATCTCCTAATAAAAACTAAAATATCTCCTAATATTTATGTAGGAGACAATATTAATGGGCAACAAAACCATGCACTCCAAGTTAGATACAGCACCCTTCCATGAACTCATAACCTTGAAAAAACTACCTTTCCAACTCAGTCACTAAGAGTAGCCCATGGCAGCAACATGAACACTACAACCTCTCATGTGCACCCAGAGTCCTAGAAGTGGTCCTTTGCATTATTTTCGACCAAAGGAATCAGAACTCTCTGGAAAGGGGTTGATTCTACGTTGGGAAGTAATAATAATAATAACAATAAAGATAAGATTGAAAATTCTTTTTATTCATTAATAAAAGCAAAGTTGCTTTAAAATATATCACAGAATTGTGTGTGAAATTTGTGATGGGGGGAAAAAAGGAAAAAAATAAATCACAGAAAAAAAAAAATGTTAAGAACTTGGCCAGGCGTGGTGGCTCACACCTGTAATCCCAGCACTTTGGGAGGCCAAGGTGGGAGGGAAGATCCCTTGAGCACACGAGTTTCAGACCAGCACGAGTAAGATGGTGAGATCCCATCTCTACAAAAAATGTTAAAGAGAGAAAAAGAGAGAGATGTTGAGTCAAAAAGATATGATTTAAAGGGGCTCCCACTGTCCAAGTTATAACATTTTAATTTTATAACTAATTGAACCTGCGAAAATATGAGTTGATGATATTCAATGGAATTAAGTATATGAAAGTTCTTTTTTTAAAACAAGATAAGTGAGAACATAACAGTGTGATGGGTTATTTTAGGTGCCAACTTGACTGGGTTAAGGGATACCCAGATAGTTGATAAAGCATTATTTCTGGATATGTCTGTGAGGGTGTTTCTGGAAGAGATTGGCATTTGAATCACTGAACTGAGTATGGAAGATTTACTCTCATGCAATGTGGGTTAGAACCATTCAATTTGTTGAGAGCCTGGAAAGAACAAAAAGGCAGAGGGAAAGTGTTCTCTTTTCTGAAGCTGAGACACTCATCTTTCTCTGCCCCTGGATGTCGGAACTCCAGATGCTTGGGCCTATAACACTTACATGACATGTTATAAGTGTTAAAACAGGGAGAGACAGTATAAATAATTAAGGAAACGAGCTATTATACCTTGAGGAGGGAGTCAAAAAAATGCCAGGATGAAAGAGGAGAAAGACAGTCTAGATTTTAAGCACAGGAGGCATAGAAAGAAAGGGTCTATGGGAAGTGGAGGGTGCAGTGAGCTGTGACTGAGACACTGCACTCCAGGCTAGGCGACAGAGTAAGACCCCTACTCAAAGAAAGATGGGGCATCTTTGATGTGATTATGCGAAAGGATGTGGGGAGGGAGGTCACTGCAAATGAGGATGAAGAGCAGGTTACAAGATAGGATCCTGGAGGACCTTGAATGTTGCCATTATCAAGGAGTTTGAACTTGGCATCTATGTGACTAGAAGAAACAGGATCAGATCTAGGTTTTAAGAAAATACAACCAAGCTATATACAACAACTTGAGTGAATTTTACAAACAGAATGCTGAGAGAAGGAAGCAAGAATAAAAATGTTTTCATTTATCTGAAGTTCAAAAATAAACAAAACTAACAATATTACTTGAGAATACATACGCTTATGGTAAAACAGCAAACAAGAGCAAGAACATGATTACCACCAAAGTCATGAGACTTGAAAGAGGGAATGGGGTAAAGTAAGATGAGTATGACTGGAAAGAGACATTCAGGGATTTCTGGTGTACTGGCAATTTTTTGACATGAGTGGTAAGTTATACGGGTGTTTCCATTATAGTACAGTATATATTTTGTGTAATTTTTGTATGTGTATTACATTTCACAATAAAAAGCTGAAGACATAGTTGGAAACACCCTGGAAGGATGCTGAAGGTGGGAAAAGTCTAGAGACAGGAAGAGAAATTAACAGCTACTCATAATAGTACAGGCAAGGGAGAGCCTGAATAATGTCATTGGTAGTGGGGGCAGAAAAAAAAAGGGCTTTGAGAATTACTTAGGAGTTAGGTCTTAGTGACCCATTAGAAATGGAAACTGTGGGAAAGAGGAGAGTCAAAAGTAGCTGCCAGATTTTTAAACTTTCAAGCTTGGGAGATCAGATGACAGCTAGGGAAATACTAAGAGTAGCAGACTCATGCAATTAAACAAAATGAAATGTGATTCACATGACATACAGTCTACCATGTACAGTGTACAATTCAGTAGCTTTTAGTATACTTGCAAGGTTGTACTACCATCACCACTATTTAATTCCAGAATATTTTCATTACCCAAAAAGAAATTCTGTGCTAATTAACAGCCTTTCCCCAGTCCCTGTCCCCCTCCCCAGGCTTCATGTAATTTTAGGAGAATAAAATCTTGTGGTTAAACGCCGCCCACTTTTTTTAAAAAACTGAGACAGGGTCTCGGTCTGTTGCCCAGGTTGGAGTACAGTGGCACAATCACAGCTCACTGCAACCTCATCCGCCCCAGGGTCTCAGGAGATCCTCCCACCTCAGACCCCTGAGTAGCTGGGACTTAACAAGCACATGCCACCATGCCTGGCTAATATATATATTTTTAATCTGTCTTGACAGAGCAACAGTGATATTCAATTGGTCTGAGCAGCACAATCCCCAAGATCTTAATGTGCTTCTCTATTTTACAAAGTGGAGAGCTCTGAGAAAACAGAAAAGCTACTTTTCTCAGGATATAGAGTGTAACATCCCGTTTCCTAGTTTTACCTTGACTAGGAACTCAAATTAACAGAGAGAGATCAAGGGTGGCAGAAATAGGTGTCTCATTATAGTGGCTTTCATTCAGTACCAGTACTGTTCACTTTGGGGAGGGTTAGAAATATCTGTATGTGGTGGTGGTGGTGGTACTGGTGGTGGGGTAAGTTGTCATAATGTCTGGAAAACCTTATAAGCATTAGAGGGCAGAGGACAGGTGTATTAACCTCAAACCATGCATAGGATAAAGTCTTGCATCACAAAGAATTGCCCCACCTACAATTCAGATACAGTCCTCTGAGAAACAGTGGGGGCAGAATTCCTATTATTTCTGCAAGTACAAAAACCAAAAAGGAAGCTATGATCTCTAAGTGGGAACCAGGTCCAAGAATTTGTGGTTAAAAATAGCTTAGAGAACAGAAGATTTAAATGAGCTCACAGTGAAAAGGGTTATTAATAGAAAGCTCAGATATTAATAGTGATGAATCTCAGTTTGCCAAGGCAAACTGCAGACCAGGCCTGGTGTTCCAGCACCACTGTCCTCGAGTCTCTGCTGTGTGTAACAGCTGCGGCTCCCTGAGCCTCGTAGCCCCCATCAGAAAGAGGACCCTTGTGGGTATGTCCTACAGTTCATTCTAAAAAAAATAAGAAGGGCCATTAGGGAGCTCTCTATATAGGAAAAAAGTTTGATTCGTCTCCCCACTAAAGCTTTTTTCTCTCTCTACACTGATTTTGTATGAAATTCTGCTACTGAAGAACCCTGTTAAAATTAGCAATTTACTTTCAAACATTTATTATGTGCGAAGTTCCGGGAAGCAGGGGGAACAGGACAAGACAGCCCTCAGACTAAAAGGGCTTCTGTTCTAGTGGGGAAGTTAAAATATGGGCAGAACTCCATAAAATATACATCTGCCAGTACAACGTACTTAAGTAGAAATAATTTACTATGTGAAAGTTAAATTTTTCTTTCCCCCATATTTACTGAACACTTATTAGGCACATTTTATATGCCTGAAAATAAGATTTGGGGTCAGCTTCATTACTTAAGAACTACATAAACATGGGCTCTTTCATATACCTAAGCCTCAGTTTCAATTACAAAATGAAGAGGATAATCCTGACAGCTTTGTCACAGGAATCAAATAAGGTAATAGAAGTTAAACGTTCCCAGCACTTTGGGAGGCCGAGGTAGCTGGATCACGAGGTCAAGAGATTGAGACCAGCCTGGCCAACAGGGTGAAACCCCGTCTCTACTAAAAATACAAAAAAAAAATTAGCTGGGCGTGGTGGTGCGCGCCTGTAGTCCCAGCTACTCTGGAGGCGGAGGCAGGAGAATTGCTTGAACTCAGGAGGCGGAGGTTGCAGTGAGGTGAGGTTGCACCACTGCACTCCAGCCTGGCGCCTGGTGATGGAGTGAGACTCTGTCTCAAAAAAAAAAAAAGAAATTAAAGGTTTTTTTTTTCCCCTAAAGAATATTTTATAAACTCTATACATATAAACTTTTCTATAAAGTTCGATTATAGAAAAGGGAGAATTTGTATTTGATACAAGAACAGTTCAACAAAGGAGGCAGCATTTGAACTGGGCTTCTAACATACAGTTAGGATAGTTAATGCATTACACCAAAAGTAATAAATTATTCAGTAAGCTTTCATTAAGCCACTACAACAAATAACAACAAAAGCCTCTATGTGCCAGGCTGTGGGCTGGGCAGATGTATTGGTACTATTTATTATACTGCTTTTAAATTGCGTCGATACACTTGTTTATTCATTAATTCTTTCCATAAATACCTAAGATACAATTAGTTTGCTAGTGTAGCAAGACACCTAGAAAGCCTGAGGCAACTGGACTTGGAGCGAGGTGGTAGTCAGATGCGAGGCTGTGGGCAAGAAGAGGTGCTTACTGAAGCTCAATCCCACTAGGTCATGCAGAGGCCAGAGCCCCAAGGCCCTGAGATGGGGTGGGAGGCACAGGAAAGAGGCATAGCAGAGTTCTACTGAGAATTTTACCTAATAAACAATGCTGTCCAGTGCAGGCTCTATTGACAGACATTGGCTTCATGCCTGGCTGCAAATGATTGGGAATACTAACCTTCCTCCCATGTCTAGGCTTGAAAGCCCTTTACCTGGGTCCATGTCACAGGGCAGAACACTGTGTAAGATACCCTGAACT